TGGAATACTAGATGAACTCCTGCTAGGCTGGGAGGTAAGGCAAGCTCATAAGCAACCTCCCCAACACGCCGCAATATCTCAAAAGGACCAATGAACCTCGGGCTCAGCTTGCCCTTCTTCCCGAACCTCATGACGCTCTTCATAGGCGATACCCGAAGCAAGACCTGCTCACCAACCATAAATGCCAAGTCACGAACCTTCCGGTCCGCATAACTCTTCTGCCTGGACTGGGCTGTGCGAAGTCTCTCCTGAATCACCTTTACCTTATCCAGGGCATCCTGGACCAAGTCTGTACCCAACAGTTGGGCCTCGCCCGGCTCAAACCATCCCACTGGGGACCGGCACTGCCTACCATACAAAGCCTCATATGGTGCCATCTGAATGATGGACTGATAACTGTTGTTGTAGGCAAACTCTGCAAGTGGCAAGTATTGGTCCCATGACTCTCCGAACTCCATCACATAGGCACGGAGCATATCCTCCAGAGTCTGAATCGTGCGCTCGGACTACCGGTCCGTCTGAGGGTGAAAGGCTGTGCTCAATNAGCCGATCCACGATCACCCAAATAGCATCGAACTTTCTCAAAGTCCAAGGAAGTCCAACCACAATGTCCATGGTGATCCGCCCCCACTTCCACTCTAGGATCTCTAACCTCTGAAGTAATCCACCTGGTCTCTGATGCTCATATTTAACCTGCTGACAGTTGAGACACTTGGCCACAAACCCAACTATATCCTTTTTCATTCTTCTCTACCAATAGTGCTGCCTCAAGTCCTGGTACATCTTCGCGGCACCCGGATGAATGGAGTACCGCGAGATATGGGCCTCCTCAAGAATCAACTCCCGAAGCCCATCTACATTGGGCACATAGATCCGGTGCTGCATCCTCATCACACTGTCATCACCAATAGTCACATCCCTGGCATCACCTCGCCGGACCCTGTCCTGAAGAACTAGAAGATGAGGATCATCACACTGGCGCTCTCTGATACAGTCATAAAGAGAAGACCGAGCAACCACACAAGCTAATACCCGGCTAGGCTCTGAAATATTCAATCTCACCAACTGGCTAGCTAAGGCCTGAACATCCAAGGCTAAGGGCCTCTCAGCTGCCGGAAGATATGCCAAACTCCCCAAATTCTCTGCCCGGCGACTCAAGGCATCGGCCATTACATTGGCCTTCCCCGGGTGGTACAATATAGTGATATCATAGTCTTTAAGTAGCTCCAACCACCTCCGCTGACGCAAATTAAGGTCCTTCTGCCTGGACAAGTACTGCAAACTCTGGTGATCAGTGTAAATCTCACAGGGAACACCGTAAAAATAATGATGCCAGATCTTCAGGGCGTGAACAATAGCTGCTAACTCGAGATCATGGACCGGATAATTCTTCTCATGCACCTTCAATTGTCT